ACAGGCAGGAGTGATGGGCCAGAGGTGAGAGCGTCTGCAATGCAGGTGAGCAGAACTGTCCGTCAGGTGGTCCTGTGTAGGATCAAGATGGCTAGGCCCTTCTACCCCTCAGTCTGTCACTGGCCACAGGTCCCTGGGAAGAGTGTGCCTCTGCAGCAGAGGTGCTGAGTGGCCGGCAGTCCCACCTAGAGGGCTCTGGACGTCACATCATCATGTTAGCTACCTTCATCAAGTACACTTGAGTTTTCTGAATGAAAAGACCTTTACACTGTATCTGAGAGCTGTTCCTTCGCTCTTGTTTGTGGAAAAGCAAATGCCATGCTGCGTATCGCCCTATCATATGTGTAAAATGGGTTTGGTCTCTTTCACTCAATTTTTCTTAACGGTTCTCTAAGACCTTTTTTTAAAATTGTTAGTCGTTTTCCAGACAGGCATGTAAGAAGCCTGTAAGTCATGATACCCATCATCCCAAGAAAAAAAAATAAGACATTGGAAATACCCATTTACTAGGAATGCATTTGGTACAATATATATAATTCCTTTATGTAAAAAACCACAAAGCGTTGCTCAGAGAGACTAAAGGTCTTAATAGGCTGGACCAAGTGGCTCACATCTGTAATCCCAGCACTTTGGGAGGCCCAGGTGGGTGGGTCACCTGAGGTCAGGAGTTCAAGACCAGCCTGTCCAACATGGTGAAACCTCCGTCTCTACTAAAAATATAATATTAGCCAGGTGTGGTGACAGGCACCTGTAATCCCAGCTACTCAGGAGGCTGAGGCTGAGGCAGAAGAATCACTTGAACCCAGGAGGCGGAGGTTGCAGTGAGCCAAGGTCGCACCATTGCACTCCAACTTGGGCAAGCGAAACTTGGTCTCAAAAACAAAAAGACCAAAATTAAAAGATGTACCATGTTTATGAGTTAAAAGAGTAATATGGTTAAGAGATCACTTATCCCCAACTGATCTATAGAATCAGCGCAGTTCAAATTAATTCCAGCAGGCATTTTGTAGAATTTGACAGGCTGATTCTAAAATGGATATACAAAGGACCTAGAGTAGCCAGAGCAATCTGGAAGGAGAGGAACAATGTTAGAGGACTTACATTATCTGATTTCAAGGCTTTTTTTTTTTTTTTTTTTTTTTGAGATGGAGTCACGCTCTATCAACCATGCTGGACTGCAATGGCGCGATCTGGGCTTATTACAACCTCTGCTTCCTGGCTTTAAGCAGTTCTTCTGCCTCAGCCTCCCAAGTAGCTGGGATTACAGGCACGTACCATCACGCCTGACTAATTTTTATATTTTTAGTAGAGATGATGTTTCACCATATTGGCCAGGCTGGCCTCAACTCCTGACCTCGTGATCTGCCCACCTCAGCCTCCCAAAGTGCTGGGATTACAGTTGTGAGCCACTGCGCCCGGCCTGATTTCAAGGCTTTTTAAAGCTAGAGTAATCAATATAGTATGGTACTAGCAAACCGATAAATCGATCAGTGAAGCAGAATAGAGTCCAGAAATATATGGTCAGTTGAGGTTGTTTTCCTTTTTACTAAGATAACATAAAATGTAATGGAGGAAGGAAAATGTGTAACCAACTAGTGCTGGAACTAGATAATTGTAAAGGAAAAGTGAATCTTTACCTTGTACCGTAAACAAAAATTAATTTGACACGCACCCTGGACTTCAGTGTGAAAGCTGGGGCCAGGTATGGTGGCTCACGCCTGTGATCCCAGCATTTTGGGAGACCGAGGCAGGAGGAGCACCTCAGGTCAGGAGTTCGAGACCAGGCTGACCAATATGGCGAAACCCTGTCTCAACTAAAAATACAAAAATTAGACAGGCATCATAGCATGGGTCTATTGTCCCAGCCACTCAGGAGGCTGAGGCATGAGAATCACTTAAACCTGGGAGGTGGAGGTTGCAGTGAGCCAAGATCACACTAGAGCCTGGGTGACAGAGCAAGACTCTGATTCAAAAATTTTAAAAATAAAAATAAAGGCAAGGTCTCACTGTTTCCTGGCTGATCTGAACTCCTAGGCCCAACTAGTCCTTTGGCCTCGGCCTCCCAAAGTGCTGGGATGACAGGTGTGCGCCACTGCGTCTGGCCCAAGCCATTTTTTTCAATGAGCACAAAGAGGGAAGGAAGGCACCAAAATGGCCAATTAAACCACACAAGCACCACAGCCTCTGGAATGGCTAAAATAAAAAGACCGGTGATGTCAAATAATTTTCAAGGATTAGAGCAACTGGAAGTTAAAAGATAGTACAAGCACTTGGGAAACTACATGGCATTTTTGTCCAACACGTATCTATCTACTCCTGAGAAGCAGCAGTTCACCCTTAGGTATTTATCCAAGATAAATTCTTAAATGCATCAACCAAGAGATTTGTATCTGAATATTCATGAGCTAAAAGCTAGAAACATCCTGATGACTGTGAAGAGGTAGATGGATAAACAGTGAAGTATAGGCATGCAATGGAATGCGATTCAGCTGTGAAAACACACAGCTCACACATAACAACATAAGGGAATTCAAAAACTTTATGCTGAAAAAAAAGCACTCCATGGCCGGGTGCAGTGGCTCAAGCCTGTAATCCCAGCACTTTGGGAAGCCAAGGCAGGCAGATCACGAGGTCGGGAGTTGAAGACCAGCCTGGCCTCCAGCGAAACATGGTGAAACCCTGTCTCTACTAATAATACAAAACCTAGCCGGGCGTGGTGGTATTCCCCTGTAATCCCAGCTACTCAGGAGGCTGAGGCAGAAGAACTACTTGAACCCGGGAGGCGTAGGTTGCAGTGAGCCAGAATAGCGCCACTGGACTCCAGCCTGGGCAACAGAGAGACTCTGTTTCAAAGAAAAAAACAAAAAACCAGACTTAAAAGGAGCCATTATTACTCCATTTACATGAAGTTAATGGACAGGTAAAACTAGTCTCCAGTGATAGAAATTACAACAGTGGTTGTCTCTGGGCATGACTTATTACCTGAAAGGGGGTAAAAAGGAATTTCTGGGGGTGATGGGAGGGCACAGTGTCTTCATTGGTTCCACAGGTACGTGCATGTGACAGAACTCATTGAACTGTAGAGTTAAGATCTGTATATGCATTACACCTCAATTTTTTAAATTAAAAGTAATATTTTACATTCAGTACAAGTAGTTACCACTATGCACCTATTAAAATGACAAAACAAATTTGACAGTATCAAGTCTTGGCTTGGGTGTGGAGCAACTGGAAATCTCATACGTTACTGTTGGAAACGCAGATGGTACAGCCTACTGGGGTTTTTTTGGTTTGGGTTTTGTTGGGTTTTTGGTTTTTTTTGTTTGTTTTTCTTTTGTTTTTTTTTGTTTGTTTGTTTTTTTGAGCCTTGCTTTATCACCCACGCTGGATTGCAGTGGTGCAGTGTCTGAAGTGTGTTTTCAGATGACTTTCACAGTTCTGAAAGCTGAGAACCCAAGACAAAGGCACCAGAGAATGTCTGGTGAGGACCCACTGTCTGGTTCTCGGTGCTGTCTTGTGTCTTTACATGGCAGAAGGGAAAAGGCAGTTCTCTGGGGTGTGTTTTATAAGGGCACAAATCCCACTCACCAGGACTCTACTCTTGTGACCTGTCACTTCTCAAAAGCCCCACCTCCTCATCCCATCACCGCGGTGACGGGGCTTCAACATAGTAGTAACACTCATTCACAGGTTCCAGGGACTTGACCTAAGTATTTGCTGGGGGATGCTTTTTCAGTTTACCAGAGCCACTGAATTCGTAGAAATTTGTCGTAACCATGACAGAAACCTAAAACAGGACAGTAACTTTCTGACGGCCTGCCCTCCAGATTTCAGACTGGCCAAACCAGCCCCCATAGTGCATAAGCCAATTCCTTGCAGTAAATCTCCTAACTTGTATCTCCTACTGATTCTGCTTTTCTGGCTGATCCCTGACTGACATACATGCCTGTGTAACTATCAGCCTGACCAAGATGCAGGACACTTCCAAGTCCCCAGAATTTTCCCACACCTCTTTTCAGTCCATCCTGCTCCTCCCAGATGCCTCACCCAAGCAAATGCTTTCTGATTTTTTTTTTTTTTTTTTTTGGAGGCAAAGTCTCACTCTGTCGCCCAGGCTGGAGTGCAGTGGCTCGATCTTGGCTCACTGAAACGTACGCCTCCTGGATTCAAGTGATTCTCCTGCCTCAGCCCCCTGTAACTGAGATTACAGCACCTACCACCACACCCGGCTAATTTTTTGTATTATTTTATTTTATTTTTTTTTTTTTTTGAGACGGAGTTTCACTCTTGTTACCCAGGCTGGAGTGCAATGGCGTGATCTCGGCTCACCGCAACCTCCACCTCCTGGGTTCAAGCAATTCTCCTGCCTCAGCCTCCTGAGTAGCTGGGACTACAGGCGCGCGCCACCATGCCCAGGTAATTTTTTTGTATTTTTAGTAGAGACGGGGTTTCACCATGTTGACCAGGATGGTCTCGATCTCTTGACCTCGTGGTCCACCCGCCTTGGTATCCCAAAGTGCTGGGATTACAGGTGTGAGCTTCCGCACCCGGCCAATTTTTTGTATTTTTAGTAGAGACGGGGTTTCTCCATGTTGGCCAGGCTGGTGTTGAACTCCTGACCTGAAGTGATCCGCCCGCCCTGGCCTCCCAAATTGCTGGGATTATAGGCATGAACCACATGCCCGGCCAATTTCTAACTTCTGTCACCAATGAGTAGTGCTGTCTATCGTGGAAGTTCATATAGATGGAATCCCACAATATATACGTTGTCTTTTGTGTGTGGAAAATTGCAGAATAATCTTGAGGGTCATCTGTTTTATAATACTACTTGTATCCGTTTTCTTCCCGTTTTAAAAACTTTTTTTCTTTCTTTTTTTTTTTTTTTTTTTTTGAGTGGGAGTTTCGCTCTTGTTACCCAGGCTGGAGTGCAATGGCGCGATCTCGGCTCACCGCAACCTCTGCCTCCTGGGTTCAGGCAATTCTCCTGCCTCAGCCTCCAGAGTAGCTGGGATACAGGCACATGCCACCATGCCCAGCTCATTTTTTGTATTTTTAGTAGAGATGGGGTTTCACTATATTGACCAGGATGGTCTCGATCTCTTGACCTCGTGATCCACCTGCCTAAGCCTCCCAAAGTGCTGGGTTTACAGGCTTGAGCCACCGCACCCAGCCAAAACTTTTTTTCATTATTTAATGTTTTGATTTTTATTTGTGTGGTAAAATACGCATAAAATTTACCATCTTAGCCATTTTCAGTGCATAGTAGTGTTGTCTATTCACATTGCTGTGCAACCATCACCACCATCCATATCCAGAACTCATCTTGTAGACCTGAAACCCTGTACCCATTCAACAACTCCCATTCCCTCGTCCCCAGACCCTGGCAGTCACCATCCCACTTCCTGTCCCACAAATATGACTCCTTGGCACCTCATCTGAGTACAGTCACACGGCGCTGCTGCTTTTATGCCAGGCCCATCTCATTTAGTACAGCAGTGTCAAGGTCCGTCCACGTGGCAGCATGTGAGTTTCTCCACTTTTAAATCTGAGTAATACTCCATTGTACAGATGTACTACCTTTTGTTTATCCTTCATCTGCCAGTGGACACTTGGTTACTTCCACACTTTAGCTGTTAGGAAGAATGTTGCTATGCCTGTGGTCCCAGGTAGGAGACACATGTGGTCCTGAGGCAGGAGAATCGCTTGAACCCGAGAGGCAGAGGCTGCAGTGAACTCAGATCATGCTACTGCTGCACTCCAGCCTGGGCGACAGAGCAAGACTCTGTTAAAAAAAAAAAAAATGTTGCCATCAACACAGGTGTACAAACATCTCTTCAAAATCCTGTTTTCAATTATTTTGGGTATATATAAAGTTTTTTTTTGTTTTTTTTTTTTTTTTGGAAACATATTGTTTCCCATAGTGGCACTGTTTTCCATTCCCACAGAGTACAGAGAGCTCCAATTTCATCATACCCTTTTGTTTGTTGACAGGAGGTATCCTGATGAGGGTGAAATGGTATCTCCTTGTGGTTTGTTCGTTTATTTTTATTGCTGAGTGATATCCCATTACATGAACAGTATTTGTTTACCCATTCTATTTGTGCGATTTGCATTGTTTCTAGTTTTTTGCAATTACGAATAAGCTGGTAAGAATATTCATTGTACAAGTTTTTGTGCAGAGATTAATTTATATTTCTGTTAGGTAAATGCTTAGAATTACTGTCACAGGAGATACATATGTTGAATAAATATATGTTCAACTTTATAAAAGACTTCCAAAGTGATTTCTTTCTGAAGTGTGAGTCAGTCTTTTGCCCTATTTTTCCTGCATTGTCATTTTATTGTTGATTTGTTGGGGTTCTTTACATATTCTGGACGCAAGCCCTGTCTGTTGTATGTATTGGAGTATTGTCTTGCAATACTGTCTATGCCTTTTCTTTTCACTCTTTTAACATTGTCTTTTGATGAGAAGTTCTAAATTTCAATCAAATCAATTTATCATTTTTTTCTAAAGGTGCTAACCCTACATCTTTGTGAAATCTTACCTACCTCTACTCCATGGTTATAAAATTATTCGCTTATGTTTTCTTCTAGAAGCTTTGTATCTTTAGCTTTCAAATTTAGGTCTGTGATCCATACACACAGCCAGTTACTTTTAGTACATGTTGTTGGGGAGGAGGTCAAAGTTGTTTTTCCACATGATTATGCAGTTATTCTGGCATCATTAAAAAAACACACAAAACGCGGTTTTTTTGTTTGTTTGTTTGGGTGTAATCTCTCTCTGTTGCCAGGTTGGAGAGTGCAGTGGTGAGATCTTCGCTCACTGCAACCTTCCGCCGCCTGGGTTCAAGAGATTCTCCTGTGTCAGTCAGCCTCCCAAGTAACTGGGATTACAGGGCAGACCACCACGCCCGGCTAATTTTTGCATTTTCAGTAGAAACGAGGTTTCACCATGTTTGTCCAGGCTGGTCTCAAACTCCTGACCTCAGGTGATCCGCCTGCCTCTGTTTCCAAAAGTGCTGCGATTACAGGCGCCAGGCACCGCGCCCGGCCACAATGTTTTCAAGTAGCACAGCATAACTTGAATTTGGGTTCCATCATGTCATCTACAATGTAAAAATCTTTGGAATCTAATTTTGAGAGTCCGTCCTAGGCACAGCAAAGCAGGAATCTGCTGATCTGAAATGTGGGGACTGGGAACCAGATGTTCTTAAAAATGTGAGGAAGTGATCTCTGAATAGGAGGGGCCTGGTAGGTCGTCTCGGGCCGCTGGTCAGGATCCATTCAGAGCTAACTTCTTCCTCACACAGAGCATGGGGCGCGGGTAGCGAACCTTCACCATCTAGAGGCGGGACTGGAGTATCCGACGCCCACCCTTGCTGAGCTCCGGGAGAACCGGGTCGCGGGCGGGGCGTTCAGCGCGGTTTTCCCGAGCACGCCTGAGAGCGGCTCACCCGGCTCAGCGTTTCCGTGGGAGGTCTGGACTTCACTTTCACGATTGTTTTCTGGGACGGTGTCACGCCAGGTTTTCCTCCGTGCGCCGTTCCCCAGGTGCGCCCGCGTCTGCCCCGGCTCCCTCAGGCGACCGGGCGAGGGCGGAGGGTTCCCCAGCGGGCTCGGACCCGCCCGCCCAGCGCAGGTGCGCGCCTCCTGCCCGCGCGGCGGCGCCGCCAGATGGGACCCTCGGAGTCCCCGAGCCCGCCACGCAGCCCAGGGCGACCCCACTCCCCGCCCTGACCCCACGCCTCGACCCGGGACACGGTGCGGACCCCATTCCTCCGCCCTCCGAGCGGACGGGCCCACAGGGCCACCCCGCGCCCGCTCCGCCCCGACCCCGCCGTCCCGCGCCGGCTGAGGTGGCCCAGGCCGGCGGGTCTCCGGCTCTCCACTCGGCGGCGGGGAAGGGCCTGCCGGGGGGAAGCCCCGCGGGAGGAGGGAGCGGCAGGGGCCGCGGCCGGGAGGGAGGAGCGCCGGGAGGAAGAGGCCGAGCCGGGAGAGCCCCCGCCCCGGGAGGAAGGGGAGGAGGCCGAGCGTTTCCTGGCGCATTCCCGGCCCGCCCGACTGAGTCACTCGGCCAAGGAAACTCCCGGGCCCCGCCCGGACCCCCAAGCCTCCGCGGACCCAGGTGAGGAACCCCGTGCGCCCGCGGCCTCCGTGGAGTCCGGGTCGCCCTCGGAACCCAGGCCGGCCAGGGCGGCGGGGCCGGGACTGAGTCCCTCGGCGGCGCGGCCTCAGGGATCGCCCTGGCCCCAGCGTCCGCAGCTCCCGGCCCCGGGCTCCAGGTTCCCGCGCCCCCCCCACGTTCCAAGTCCCTGCACCCCCTAAACCGCGCCCCTCGGGCTCCAGGTCCCCGCGCCCCGTAAACCGCGCCCCCCCGGGCCCCAGGTCCCCGTACCCCCTAAACCTCACCTCCCGGGCTCCAGGTCCCCGCACCCCCTAAACCGCACCCCCCGGGCTCCAGGTCCCCGCACCCCCTAAACCGCACCCCCCGGGCTCCAGGTCCCCGCACCCCCTAAACCGCACCCCCCGGGCTCCAGGTCCCCGCACCCCCTAAACCGCGCCCCCCCGGGCTCCAGGTCCCCGTACCCCCTAAACCGCGCCCCCAGGGCTCCAGGTCCCCGTACCCCCTAAACCGCGCCCCCCCGGGCTCCAGGTCCCCGTACCCCCTAAACCGCGCCCCCCGGGCTCCAGGTCCCCGCGCCCCGCCCCCTGGGCTCCAGGTCCCCGTACCCCCTAAACCGCGCCCCTCGGGCTCTAGGTCCCCGCGCCCCCCAAACCGCAACCCCCCCGGGCTCTAGGTCCCTGCACCCCCTAAACCGCGACCCCCGGGCGCTGCGCCCCAGGCCCGTCGGCCTCGGCTGCGGGCTCCCCTCCCCCGCGCTCCGGCCGGGCGCCCGGATCCCCGATTCCGCTCCCGGCACGTGGCGTGGCTCCCGTGGGGAGGGGACACCTCCGTGTTTCACGGGTTTTTGTTGGAAAGTAAGGGGCAGGCAGATTGCTAGCGTCGCCCTAAGCCCGCGCAGCGAGGTCTGAACCCGCTGTTGCTTCGTACCCGGTGAGGACCTGGGGGAGCCTGGTCCGCGGGGCCGTTCCGAGCTTTCTTGGAGAGAGGAGTTTTGGGCTTTGTTGAGGAGGCGCGATTGTTCCGGGGGCAGCGCTGTTTGGCACGAGCCTTCCGAATTGTGTATTTTCAGCCTGAAATGCGTGAGCTTCGTTTGCAGTACACTGTGGGTGTGACTAGAAGGGGGGCAAGAATAATTGGGAAACGGGGTTGAAGGAGCGTTGTTTGTAAAGCCGAGGGGGCGTCGGGACGGTGAAGTCCACTCAGGGAGCGGCTGCGGAAGGCTGGGGAGTGAGGCTTGGGGCGTTTGTTTTCTGGCGGCGCCGGGAGCAGCGGCGTTTCCTGGAGTTGTCGGGTGGACTCCGGAATGAGGTGTGGCCGGAGCCCCGGGGATGCCCGTGTGGGGCGCGCGTTGCTGTGCCTGGCGACTTGGTGGCTGCGACAGAGCCCCGGTCAGGCCAGGACCTGCGGGCCCCACGTGTGCTGCCCTTTCCCTGCGCTGGCCAGTGCTTTCCGTGTGAAGTCTGGACCCGCAGGCTCGGAGCCTGGAGGAACGAGTCACGTTGTGGGTGGGCGCGGGTCGCGGCACGTGTGCACTTACAGAGTTCCTGCGACCGACGCGCCCTGGAGTCCTGCGTTGACAAGTGTCTGTGTGCCGCGCTCAAAGAAAATGTACCCCCTAAGTTTGTGTGTATGTTTAAATTTACTTTAAAATTTACATATAGTAACATTCACTTTTTGATGTGCAGTTCAGTGAGTTTTAACAGATGTGTGGCCTGCAGTGAGTACCACCCCAGTCAGGATACTCAGGAAGGCAGCCTCTCTCCTCCTCCCTGCTCCTGCAGCCACCTGTCTATTCCTCCGTCCTGCTCCTTTGCCTTTTCCGGGATGTCACGTGTGGGCTTGGAGTCTGGCTTGCCTCACGTAGCATAAGGAGTTGCAAATTCAGCCACGCTCTGGTTTGTCCCTGAAGCGTAAAGATACAAAGGTTTTTAAAGTGTGACTCTCGGATACAGCCTGAGAGAGGGACTAAAATGATTAAGTGATGAGAAAAATTATGAAACTATAGTTCATTAAAAACATTAAACAGTGTAGAACCGACGTGTATGATGAAAGTGAAATTCCCTCGGTACTTTTAAGTTGTATACAGTCCTCGCTGTGCATACGCAATTGTTTTATAACATAGTGCGAGCATACTGCAGATGTTATCATCATACATTTTTCACTTAATGATGTTTGGTTATTTAAACATCCTAGCAGTCTTTACATTTTGATATATACAGTGTATACACACAGATTTCCCTCAGTCTTTTAAGTGGCTGTGTAGTTTTTTTTTTTGTTTGTTTGTTTTGAGACAGAGTTTCGCTCTTGTTACCCAGGCTGGAGTGCAATGGCGCTATCTCGGCTCACCGCAACCTCCGCCTCCTGGGTTCAGGCAATTCTCCTGCCTCAGCCTCCCAAGTAGCTGGGATTACAGGCACGCACCACCGTGCCCAGCTAATTTATTGTATCTTTAGTAGAGACAGGGTTTCACCATATCTCGATCTCTTGACCTCGTGATCCACCAGCCTCAGCCTCCCAAAGTGCTGGGACTACAGGCTTGAGCCACCACGCCAGGCCCAGTTTTTTTGTTTTTGTTTTTGTTTTTGTTTTGACGCAGTCTTGCTTTATGGCCCAGACAGGAGCGCAGTGGTGCAAACTCAGCCTCCGGGTTCAAGCAGTTCTCCCATGTCACCCTCCTGAGTAGCTGAGATTACAGGCATGCGCCACCACACCCTGCTAATTTTTGTATTTTTAGTAGTGTTTCACCATGTTGCCCAGTCTGGTCTTGAACTCCTGACCTCAAGTGATCCTCTGCTTCAGCCTCACAAATTTCTGGGATTACAGACATGAGCCACTGTGCCCAGCCAGATGACTATAATATTCTGTAGTGTGTATGTTCCATAATTTTGTCAGCCTTTTTTTGATTAATGTTATAGTTACTTACTGTTTTACACCACTACAGTCAGTGCTTGTGTCTGTATCTTTGTGCACATACTCACATTTGTCATGCTAAAGGTGACTTTGGGTTTAAATAATAGCTAACATTTCATGAGTACTTCTCATGCTCCAGGAATCGTTCTAAACCAGTGTTACCCGGCAAGGTCCAGGCAGTGACTGCTGTCAGCCGTGCAGGCCGTGTGGTCTCTGCGCTGTAGCGCCCATGCAGTGTGGACAATATGTATGGGGAATGAGTCTGGCTGTGTCCCAGTGAAGCCTCTGTACAGAAAGAGGCAGTGGTCTGTAGTTTGTTGACCACTCTTCTAAGTCGTATACACCCTAATTATTCTCATAGTCCTCCAAGGGAGGTGCAGTTACTATCCCCACTTTGTGGATGACGAAACTGATACAGAGAAAGGAGGAGTCCAAGGTGACGTGGTTGATCAATGGCCATGCCAGGTCTTGACCCATCCATTTGACTGGCATGCTTCAAGTTTAAAAATTAGAAAGCAGCTGCCAAATGTCTTCCAAATGTTAGACCTGGTGGCCGGACCCTGGGCGCCTGCTGAACCAGTGGCCTCTGGTTCTTTGAAAGCCATGTGCTTGCCAGGTACCACTCTGCGCAGCTTTTGGATGCTGGATAGGCCAGCACCCTCTCAGCACCTCTCATTGTGTGCCTGTCTATATTCCTGCTTTTGATAAATGTTTTCCTAGCACCAGCTTAATGAGAAGTCAGCTCAGCCAGTGCTTGGGACCACCCAGCTGTCAGGCAGGAGGAAAGACAGACTTTTCCATCAGGAAAGATCAAGTTGGGTGCTGCCAAGGTTAACTTCATTTGATGTCAGCAGTAATCACCTGAGCCCAGGTCGGCATGTTGCTTGGCCTACCATGGCCCATTTTCCTTCAGTAATGTGGAGCAGGCCGGGTGCGGTGGCTCATGCCTGTAATCCTAGCACTTTCGGAGGCCAAGGCAGGCGAATCGCTTGACACCAGGAGTTCAAGACCAGCCTGGCCAACATGGTGACACCTTGTCTCTACTAAAAATACAAAATTAGCCAGGCGTGGTGGTACATGCCTGTAGTCCCAGCTAGTTGAGAGATTGAGGCAGGAGAATCACTTGAACCTGGGAGGTGAGCTCACACCACTGCACTCCAGCCTGGGCAACAGAGCAAGACTCCGTCTCAAAAAAAAAAACTTGTGAAGATCAAATGAGATAATGTATAGAAAAAATACTGTAACTGGGGCTCAGTGGCTCACGCCTGTAATCCCAGCATTTTGGGAGGCTGAGATGGGTGGATCATAAGGTCAGGAGTTCAGCCTGGCCAAGATGCTGAAACCCCATCTCAATACAAAATAAAAATACAAAAATTAGCCAGGTGTAGTAGCACGCGCCTGTAATCCCAGGTACTCGGGAGGCTGAAGCAGGAGAAACGCTTGAACCCAGGTGGCAATGGTTGCAGTGAGCTGAGGTCATACCATTGTATTCCAGCCTGGACAACAGAGCAAGACTCCATCTCAAAAAAAAAAAAAAATACTGCACAAGAGACACTGTTCATGCTATGTTTTCTAAAGATTTTATTTTTGTAAAACATATTTTATAGTGTGAAGTTTTAACTAACATGTCCAAGCTATTTTCATTGTTTTCACTATTAAAACTTAGCCAGCTCTTAGAGGCCACAGATAGAGCTTGTTCTAATTACACTGACATAATTTAAAAACCTTATTTTAGCCAGTGCAGTAAGGTCAGACAAAGAAATAAAAGGCACCCCGATTGGAAAGGGAAAACTTTTCCTATTTGCCGACATTATTGTCTGCATAGAAAATTTAAGGACTCTATGAAAAAGTTACTAGAACTAATATGCGAGGTTAGCCAGGTTACAAGATACAGAGTCAGCACACAGAAGGCAACCTTATTCCTCCATACAGCAGTGCCCGTTATCCCTGGGGAGATACGTGCAAAGTCAACACTATATAAGCTGGCCTTACTTCTGTTGACAGCGGTGCTGGAGGATGTGTTCCAGTGGATGTCTGAAACCTTGGATAACGCAGAACCCTTTGTGTACTGTTGTATTCCTGTACGTCTGTGCCTGTAATAAAGCTTAATTTATAAATTAGGCACAGTAAGAGACAACAATAATCATAATATAACATAATTATATACTGAGTAAGAGTCATATAAATGTGTTCTCTCTTTCAAAATATCTCTTTGTACGCACTCCCCACCTGTTTTTGGAGGGCAGTTGACTGCAGGCAGCTGTGACCAGGAAAACAGAAATGGCAGATAATGAAACTACAGATAAGTGGGGACTGCTGTACTGGCAATGTGCAATTAGAAAGTTAAATTC